GTGTGTAAACATATATATAATATATAATATAATATGAATGAATATATATATTATATATAAATATATATATACACACCACGCACACACACAGCACACACACACACACACACACACACACACACACACACACACACACACACACACACACACACACACATACATATATTAATATAATATAATATATATATATAATATATATATATATATATATATAATATATATCACAAAAACAGCAACAGAATTAGGAACGGGAAGTGCTGAAAAAGTAATTTTCTGAGAGCACATTTGATAAAAATGTGCTGGTGAAGTCAAATAGCGGATATCTTCAAAGTTCGTTTTTGTGCGTGCAAAACAACAAACATCAAACTCAAATTTCAAACACTAAAGGTGGAGCAATGCCCGATGATGTTCCAATTGAAGTTGCCAATGCATTTACATGTAAAGGCTTTCAGCCAATCAGCATGGAGGACGGCACCCGCACGTGGTTCTCATTGGCTGATCGGGAGGGCGAGTTCAATGCCCACTGTTGCCAAAGTCGCTTCGGGGAATATGAAATAGACGGAAAGTTTTGCCATTTATCCCGGTTGCGTAGTTTATTTTATAGTCACATCCTTGCCATTGATTTCACATACTGGCTGTCAAATTAATGCAAATAAAATAAGATGTATCTTTCTGATATGAATTTAACAGAAAAAATTTAATTCATCTCCGAAGTGACAGATAAGACCCAAAAGCCTAAAACAATCAACCAGCACACAAAATTGCCTATTTATAAATTCTGAAGTATTTTTATACTCTAAAATAATATAGATCGAGTAAGAATAACTCCACAAATAGAAAAAAGGCACAAAGAGCCAATGATGGGGGAACTTACAAGTAAGGGATAAATGTATACCTCTCCATAAATGATAAAACAACAAATATGAAAGAACAAACAGACGCATTAAAATCTTTAAGTAAAATAAAACAGAATTAAATGAAAATCCCAAGTACCGGAGGAGCAAAATAAAAAGCAAAAAAAAATAACGATCAACTGCAACCACCGGATTTAACTTGAGTCTGAGGCGCGGGAAGGAACCCCAAGGAACACCACCGAGAGACACAAACACCTTGTTAACTATTTTTTATTGAGGGACAGAGGCCGCCTTTTAATGCCTGGATAAGAAAGCGTGGTGTTAAAGAAAGAAGAAAGTGAAGAGACGATTTTCCGAGATGACTCTACCGAATGGAGACAGCAATTCCGTGGCCGATGACTCTGGCGAGGACCTGGTCAGATTTTTTCGAGCTTGGTTTGGGGTTTCTTTGAAAGGTTTTCTCGGCTACAGGAAAGAAGGGTGATTCAAGGAAGGGTTGAAAGGCACGGGAGAGAGGAGATGAAGACGAGGAGGAGGTTTGAGCCAAGGGATTTGAACTGCGAGCTGGTTTTCTGTGAATCTTTCGCTTGGGGAAACTTGTGCTTTGTGTTGGGGGCTGTTGTCTGCTCTGAGGCTTGGGTCGTGTTTGGGAGGACGACGGGCCGGGGGTAGAGAAGAACGGAGGTAAAATCTGTCAGGGAATAGCTAAGAACCCTAAGATTCTGTAGAAACACTATAGGGAGTGTAAGCAAGTCCACAATTATTTATTAAAGAGGACACCTGCAGACTCAGGCATTTGCCAGGGCATCCATAGGATTAGGAATCCAGCAAAAGGACATTAAACCTGTACTGCAGAGATTTTTAAACATTTTAGGAACATAGCCATCCAACTATACAATTATTATTCTTTGATTCAATTATTCACATTGTAAAATATGTGTGAATCCCATTATTTTCCATCGGAAGTGATGTAAATGAAAGGGTAATTATTCTTAGTACCTTCACATGACTGATCATGATGATATTGGTATCAATGGAATCCTCGCAATCTCCTCTGTTCTTATATGTAGGGCATTTGATGCAGATTCCCCCAAAAGAACCATATTCTTGGCTCTGATAGCAGGGGAGAGCATGAAAGGTATCAGGGAAATTATGTGATATATACAGAATCAGTTGGTATATTGCCAAATGCAAGGGACTGTTCCCCCTGCAGCCTCCGCTATGAAAGACATAGAAATCACAGCAGGGTAGAGTGTACAACTGACATACAGGAGCGTCCATTGCCGGGTCTGTCCTACACTCTACCTTGGTTGATTCTTTGTTCAGGGCAGGTCTCAATCTCAATAATAATGTGCAGGGCGCTAATGAGCGCATAACATGCATATTGTTGGGGGCAGCAACCAAGCATGGGGAGGTTGCAATTTCAGGGAAAAAATGAATAATGTACACAGAATCAGTCACTATATAGTCTAATGCAAGGGACTGTGCCTCCTGCGAAACTTCCAATGGGGGTTGTAGCCCCCCAACCCCTACTCAAGAAAACAAAGAATCCACCGTATATTCAGGGCAGAGGAGAGTGTCAGACAGACTTGGCAATGATGCTCTTGCATGGTAGTCATTCCCTCTCTCTTGCCGTGAATATATGGAGGATTCTTTATATTTCTGGGTGGGGGTTGGGGGGTAAAGCCCCCTCCAATAGACAAGATAATTATTGATTTTGTGTAGATTATTCATATTTTATCCTGCAGTTTCCCTGATAGCTTTCATACCCTCCCCTGCTATGTGCAAGATTAATTATCAAGGAAAATATTGGTACCTGTTGCCTAGGGAACCTAAAATATGGGCTTATGAACTAAAAACCTTCCTAACCCAAGGATTCCTACCCAATCGCCTTGGATTTACTCTCCACATGGCATTCCGACACTACCATTTATCTTCATTTCTGACTTTATTATTTGTCTCTGCAGATTATTTTATGTATTAGTACAGTATTTTAACAAAAAGTATACTGAAAGATGGAATAATGCACTGCTGCATTGATATGGATAAATAACAACCCTCCCTGACCAGAACTCAAACCAGGAGTCCTATTGGTAAATCTTTACAGTATGGGCACACTCACCAACTCCACAGCAAATGATTTATTCAACAATCTAAATTACAATGACTGGGCATAACTGCTGGTTACCCCCCAGCATACCTTGTCTTCACCTTGGTATGTACAGCAAGATTGAGCTGAAACTCAGGTACAACATGTGTACTTGGGCTGTGAGCAGCACCTTCTGCAATTTTTTCATTTATTTGTGGTATTACCTTTTGTATCTGCAAATTCTTACCCCTAACTGCAACTTTTTGTCTTTTACAAAAGTATCTTGTTTTAAATGCCCTTGCTTAGTGTGTTCATACTGTAAAGATTTACCATTTTATTTTCTATCACTCTATCCATAACAGGTAAAGTTTACCTTGTGCCATATGGCTGTGTGAATCTGAAACTCTATCAAATATCATCTTTTCTCTTTTGTCCGTCTCTTTTTCCCTTCCACTACCTATTCCTTTCTTGGTGTATTGTCTGGCTTCCCCCATAGACCCAGAGGGGTTCTTTAAGTCCTCAGTATTGGTGCTGTACTTTAGATCTAGGCACAAGAGACCTTATTGCCATAATTATTCAGTCTATAAAAAATTCTTACTTATCACTTTTGACAGTACTGGGTAGTGCCCAAAAATTAAATAAACAACTATGTAACCTTCAACAGGATGACACTTCAAGTGTAGGGAGTGGTTCCAATGCTGACAACTCTCGAAGTGGAACCCCTACACAGCGTAGGAAAGGACGGAACAAGAGAGGTCGCAAAAAGGTTCCACAACCCTTAAAGATGGGCTACAAATTTACGTAAGTAATCTGCAGTGGTTTGCATATTAGGAAAGGCAAATTCAGAGGAGGAATTTTACTTGATGTGTTTTAAAGGGTATTTGCAAAATCAAGACTATGCCATAAACATGCATTTTGTAGTTTACCATTATTGGTTTTTCCTTCAATATTTGAAAATATGAAAGCAAATGTTTTATGTTCATATGGATATGGGTAATATGATGTAATATAATTTTTGTTTTTCTTTCTAACAGATGTTACATGAAGGAAGATCATGCTCAGCCCATATTTGGTGTGCAGTTCAACCAACACTTGCGAGACGGGCAGCCACTAGTCTTTGCCACGGCGGGCAACAATCGCATCTCTATTTACCAGTGCATGGAGGATGGATCAACTAAGCTCCTACAGTGCTACAGTGATCCGGATGTGAGTGCATGATCCCCTTGTGGTAGATGAGCAGCATATTTCCAGGATATGGTATTCAGTGGGATGTGTAAGTGTTTGGACTTGTTAAAGAGAAGAATCTTTGTGGTAGATGAATTAGAAAAAGCAGAAAGAAAGATATTTTTGTTGTATTACTCTCAGCAATTCTCTTGATATCTGTATTTTTAGTAATTCATCTGATTCTTTTTTTTATGGTTTGGTTTGATTTCATTTGTACTGATTTTGGATATTCCAGACAGAAGAGAATTTTTACACTGTAGCATGGAGTTTTGACACAGAAACTGGCCGACCCATCTTGGCAGCTGCTGGGTCACGTGGTGTCATACGCATCTTCTCCCTGGCAACTATGCAGTGTGTCAAGCATTTTGTTGGTAGGTATAGTTGATCTTGTTATATATCATCATATATTTAAGTAGTCAGTGAGGTCTAGGAAGTATTTATACTGTAGAAATGTTCAGTGATTTTCATAAATTGTTTTTCAACCCTATTTTCATTGACAGAAAAAATGAACAAAGAAAAGAAAGAAAGGATTTAGAATTAAATAGGAAAAATTATAATTTTATTTATTCATCATCATTTTTCTTTTTATTACTTAGAATACTGTAGATGGATGTATGGATATAGGTACAGATGTGTGTATACGTGTTTATCTATCTCTGTTTACTCTTCTGAATAGGTCATGGAAATGCTATCAATGAACTCAAGTTCCATCCTCGGGACCCAAACCTCCTCCTGTCTGTAAGCAAGGACCATGCACTGAGGATGTGGAACATACGTACGGATATTCTTGTTGCCCTCTTTGGAGGTGTGGAAGCGCACAGGGATGAAGTGCTGAGTGCAGTAAGTATTGGTTTTATGCCTGATTTAGACTCCAAGCTTATAGATAGATTTTTTCTCTGCTGTTTGTTTCAGCATTCACATATTTAGCATTGTATATTGATAGATGCTATATATGTGTTATATGAAATAGTACCGTATTCTTTAGACCAAAGGATATTTCCCATGGTATTATAGTATTTATCACACTTTCGTATACCATTATCTCATAAAACCCACATAGACATGATTTTTTGTTGTATGAATAACATCCGAGAAAAGGCCTTTCAGATCATGACACAAATTGAAAGTACTGAATATTCATGTTGGAATATCCTGAATAGTTTTAAGGTTCTAGATATCTGTTTTCTGCATCAAAAACTTTCTAGTTATGATACATTTTTTACTAGAGAGATTTGAAATTTTAGGCATAGAAAAGATAACATTTAAAATATTTCCTTACATAAGACTGAATAATAGAACAAGCAATCAATATCTAGTGTTCAACTTAGATATTTATTTGTTTATTTTTTCTATATATGATTATATACATATAAATACATATTTTTTTTTCTTACTTTTTTCTTTTTTTCTTTCTTACTTTATTTTTTTTTCTTTCTTTCCTTCTTTTTCCCCCCCCCCCCCATTTCTTTTTTGTATTATTTTTTTCTTTTGTACAACACCACAGTGAAATCTAGGGGTTAATTAAAGAAGTTTGAAAAGAGCATTTTGCTCCTCTAAAGGAACTCAGGTTTCATAATGAATTGAGAACATGTTGAAGGCACAATATCCATATGGGAGGAGCCAATATTTGTGAAGGTAAATATAGTCTCCCTCGACCAGCAAATCTAAACTAACACTCCGGACGAAGGTTAGAAGTCTTCCAAGAAACTTTTGGCAAAAACAGCATCTACCTTACTGAGGCAACTAAAAAATGAGAAACTGGCTTGCAAATGTGAACACAGAACAGGTTTGACTACACAATAACCATATATGCCATCCAACATTTTGCCTCTTCATAGCAAGAATAGATGTCGTCCAGCACTAATGGCTTCATTTGTGTTAAATCAGTAATGTTTGATAAGATCAGTTTATACTTTTTTATCATCTCTCTCCATAATAGTTCCCCCTCAATCCCTTGCTCATTATTGTCATGAGGGGGCTTAGAAGATGGTGACTTAGGCCCAAAGCAGGGGATCACTCCTACTTTGGACCTCAGCCCTGATCTCAACTAAGTTCGCTTTTTCTTTTCTTACCTGCCCTTCCACTGCCTTCTCTTCTTCGTTCCCTTCTATCTACTTCCTAAGGTGTGAGAGCCATGCTGAAAGGATGAAAGGCTGGCTTTGTGTCAGCCATTGAATGGCCTCCAGAAGCCATGGACACATTATTCCTTTGGTTATCTCTTACGGAGACTCTTGAGGGATAGACCATTTCCTTTCCCAACTTGTTTCATGCTCACCATGGCTAAAATTAATTTTAAAATTTTTTACCTGTATTAGGGGCATTAAGGCTTGCTCCTTCATCAACTGCTTATCTAAATTTGTTTTCATTGGTTTCCCAACATTTGCCTTTCCTTTGACCACAACTCCGACCACTGATACTAATACTCCCTTGATATTTATTGACAACTGTCCATTCCAAACCATCCACCCAGTTCATTATTGAATCTTCATAATTCATCCCTTCCTCTCTCAATATTAACCCACTTACGACAGGTGTCCCACATATGAGACACCCAGAAAAAAAAGGGTGACGCTGTATTGGGGCTCGCTCTCCAACTCAGCTGCGGGCCGCGGCCGGCACAAGGGCAGAGTCCGGGCCAGCCCCACGCGCTGATTTTGTAGCAGCCTGGAAACAATTATTTTCGCCTTCAAGATATACCGTCAGTAATGGGTTAACATTTAATCTCCTATTGTCTAGGCATCTTATTAATATTCTTCATCCTTACTGTCCTCCTACCTGCATTACTACCTCACTTCACACCACCCTATCATCATCCCGCCATTGTCTTTCTACTGCTTCCACCTCTACAAATCTTTTGAGTGCTCATTTTTTGGGCCAGCCAAGTGGGATTGATTTTTTGTGATTCCCCCCTACAGCCCTTGACTCTGACAATACCCTTCTCTTACAAAAATGTCTCCAAAAACAAGTAGGCAAGGTTTCCTTTTGCAGTCATTCCAGTTATTCATACCTTGTCACAGCTACATCCAAGTCCCAAGATTGTGCACTATCTACCCTAAATGCCCAGCCTCACGTTTCTCATAATACTTGTACTAGAACTGTTTCCATATCCCTGACTGATAGTCATGTCTACGAAAAGGACTAGTCACAGTGAAAATGACCTGCTTACCTACCTTAATGACTTTGATGCAGTGGTAGTAGAGTGCTACACTATTCTTCCTAGAGGTCATGGTAAATCATGCACCAATATTGCTAAGATTAGCTTCGGTATATATGACCTCCCCTCTGAAGTTTATATTAGTTGTGTTGTCCATCCATGTACCTGACTTGATCATGACTGTTTAAATTGCTCTGCTCAGTTACGTGTGTGTATAAATTGTAGTGGCTCCTATAATGTATTTTATAGGAGCTGTCCTTCCTACAAGTTCAAATCTGAGGTAGCATTTCTCAGATTCAGACTAGGCCTCACTCTACGTAAGGCCAGACAGGACCCACGACGACAAGGTTTTTCTACCTATTCCAAAACTACCCTTTGCTCTGCTCCCCTCCCATCTTCCCAAGATGTCTCACCTTCTCCCCCAGTATCTCTTCCTTCTACCCCTGTTCCCCCTCCTCCCCATTCAAATTCCATGGGAACTACATAGTTTCAATACTTCATAGCAGAATGCATTTGTGGTTTTATACCACATGTACTACACAATATATGCAGGTCTTCAATTGCGGGGCATTTTTTTGGAATGCCCCCCAATTTTTTCCCCTCTGAAAATACTTCATCCAAGAGGATGCTGAAGTATGCAATGAAATGTAATCTGAATAAACTAATTTGTAAATATAAAAAATATATATATGATAATAATAATGATAATAATAATCCACTTCAATTTGTTTGTGGTTTTACAAGCTTTATATGATACAATAGCAAAAACAAAAACAAATCAATAAAAAAAAAAAAAAAATGAAAGATTTGATAGTTTATGATAGTTTATTATCTTGTAATAGTCATAGAAACTTGTATCAGATGCAGTTTGTTGCACAAAGAGATGACATGTTTCTATTTGCAAACATGTGCATTAATGTAGATGTATATGTGTGTGTATTATTTATATGCACTTTCTATGCACACACACACCAGTTCTTGTACTTACAGGCAGTCTACATATTATATATGTAATTTTTTTTGCAAATGTTTTATGAAAAATTATCATTCTGTATTTAGAGTTGGTTTTGTTAACATTGAAAAAAGTTTTTTTCAATGTAAATTTGATGTAGTCTGTAACATTATCATTCATACTATGTCAGGAAATTCATGTTACTGTATTTTAAATGTTCTAAAAATTTAAGGATATAAATATATGTAATTAAAGATATTTAGTGACTTGTATACATGTGCGTGTAGATTAAATACAAATTCACAAATTCAGAAATTTTTCCATGTAATGTATGCAAGCATTTTTGCTAGTAATTTGTTAAACTAACAGTCCATAGTTGCCACACAAAACATATGGTACTCACTTAGTTTACTTGGTAGACAGTAATTGTATATGTTAGCAAACAATATATATTTTCTATATCTATTGAACAGCTGACTGGTCTGTTTCTCCTATTGTACTAAGATTTATGTACAGTTCTCTGTTGAAAGTTGTTAGGAGGAAGATTACTAAATGGGTAATATTTCTTTCAGGATATAGATGTGGAAGGAACTTGCATAGTATCCTGTGGAATGGATCACTCGCTGAAGATTTGGAAATTAACCTCGGACATAATGCTCAAGACCATCAATCACTCGTACACTTTCAACCCAAGCAGAGCAGTGCAACCCTTTCCAACACTCCAGCAAAATTTTCCCGACTTCTCCACGAGGGACATCCATAGAAACTATGTGGATTGTGTGCGTTGGTTAGGAAAATTTATCCTCTCTAAGGTAAGGAAAATCACAATTTGTATGTAGTTTGCTAGTAAGGCTTTGGTTTTCCTTCCAGTGCATCTTTAAATTCTACTCTACTCTATCCTCTCTACAATTCCCACCTGTTACTGTAATACAATTTCTTACATGTTTTTTTTTTGTTCTTTTTTAGAGCTGTGAAAATACAATAGTGTGTTGGAAGCCAGGCTTACTGAACCAGACTGAATTGAAGCACAATGATACCAATGTCACAATTATTCAGAAATTTGATTACAAGGAATGTGAGATCTGGTTTATGAGGTTTGCTTTGGACTTTTGGCAAAAGGTTAGTCATCCAGAATTGCTTTTTCTATGTTGAGTAATGTAAGAAATCAGCATTGTGATATTTGACTTCCATTAGTAATGTAAGAAATCAGCATTGTGATATTTGACTTCCATTATGATTTGCTGTTATATTTAGCCCATTAAGATTGTTTTTGTACTGTTTTTTTTTTTTTTTTTTTTTTTTTATAAGGGAACTCTTGTAAAGGGTAGTGTGTTTATTAGTTATAATATATTTTTTATTATAACTAATAACAATACTGTTTCAAGATATCTCCCTTTACAAGTACTTTTAGATAAATTAGTATATGGTGGTAAATGCGCACACACAAAAATGTAATTGTGTAGCCCCAGTACTGTATTTATGTACTTGTACATCTTTCAGGTATTGGCCGTTGGTAATCAGCTTGGCCGGACATATGTGTGGGACCTTGACATCTCTGATCCTTCACAAGCCAGATGTTCCACTCTGACACATCCAAAGTGTGTAGCACCCATTAGACAAACAGCATTATCTCGCAATGGTAACATCCTCATAACTGTATGTGATGATGCTACAATATGGCGTTGGGATAGAGTAATGCAACAGTAGGCATTGATCCCTCCCCTCCCCCCTTTTTTTTTTGTGTAAATGTGTAAGTCCTTAGATCCAAGATTGAGCTGTGAAACCACTGCCATTATGTTTATGATACTGATCAATAAAGATACTGCCATGTAGAGAGTTTATGTACAACCTGTTTTTCCTTGCTTTCTCATGTAAAAAGGTTTTAAATTCAAGATCACTTGTACCCATCTTTTCTGTTGTGGTCCCAAGGCTTTATATATTGCCTTTTATCTTTCATCTTTCATATGTGAAATACATATACCTTTAGAATTTGGCTTTTATATAATAGGCCTGTTTGTGAAGCCGAAAGTTGAATTTCTGAATGGTTTAGTCTTTATTTTATATATATCACATTGCATTTCATGCCTAGAATCTTCCCATTTCTCGCCAGAATGGTAAATGTCAAATGAAAGAAAAGGCTGTAGATAATCAACTTCAGTTCCTGTTTTTGTCTGTCAGTTTTCCTTATATACTTTTAATTTGTCTAAAAGCTTATACACACAAGTGGGCATGATCAATTGCTTTTAAAGAAATGACATCTATGTAGGCCACTTCGGATCAAATGTGTGTTAATTGTTGGCATTTGGGGATGGTTACAAAAAAAAAAAAAAAAAAAAAAAAAAAAATCAAAGTCACATAGCACTAAGAAAGGTGTAAAATGGGTGAAGAACAGTGTTAGTTGATTAAATGTGCAACATTAGGAAATACATGATTTTATTAAAGTTGTGGGATTCTGCAAGGATGTCCATTGGGAAAGAAGGGGAAGGGCCTTAGAGTGATTAAATTGGAGAGCAGTTTTTAGAAAGAGGTTAATGGTTAAAACAAAGATGTGCAAATTGAGTAATCATACAGACTAACTTAGATGTCAAAGGTTCTAGAGTAATATAAAATAATATAGTAGTATAATGGGTAAAGAGGGAGGAAATGGGGGAAGGCAGGGATTAGTAAAAAGGGGAAGGGTGTCAAACACAATTATATCAAATGGAAAGTATCTAAGAAATGAGGAACAGTGCAAAAGAGCCATTATACAGAAAACAATAGGTAATATGGGTAGAAATTGGTATCAGAAGTAAGATCCCGGGAAGGTTACAAAATGAAATGGACAGCTATCAGGACGACTGTCAGAAAGGGAAGAGTATTGTGCCAAAAGGAGACATATCCAAGAGGGTGTGTGTACAGGCACGGTTCAACTGGCCTGTCTACATCTAGGACACCATTTACTAGTTTTTGTGGCACTTAAAGACCATAGAGATGATTTGGAGTATGTAAGACGTCTATTATCTTAATACACATTGGAAAATGCCCAAAAAGCAAAAAAAAATGCAGAACAAGAGAACACTGCAAAGGGTATGCAAAGAAACTAGGTTGACAACCCACACACCACTCAAGTAAAATGCCTGGATTTTGTGGCACAGACACTGAAATAAATTCCATGACAGGACTTTTCCATGAAAAGGTGATATTTCATACTGTCTGCTACATATATTAATTCTCCAAGCAAAAACTACATGCTTATAGATCTATTGCCAATTTATTATGAGCAAAGCCATATTTTTGAAGTTCTGCATAAACAAAGAAATGGCCAAAAAATAAACTGAGCCATAGCTGACTGGGAAATTAAAATTTGATATTCTCTTTTCCCTTGAACAGGAATAATGAAACTACAAATCAAAATCTATTTACATTCACTGTACTTCCTTTATTTATACATTAAATTTCAAGTAATATAGAACATCTCCACTGTGGTAATAATTCTGAAAAAAGAATGCAATTGGATGTTTCACATGAACGCTGAAAGTAGTTTACTATTTTAGTGCTCGGCTCCTTCCTTGGCGACATAGCCAGGCTGGTCCTCAGGGTGATGGGGCCACATGGTGGGTTTCTCCATGGAAATGGCCTAAAATGAGAGAAACAAAGATAATCAACCTCTGTTCTTGTGTATTAAAATTTATATAATGCAAATTGGAATAATTCATATATGAAATGAACTGGATATAGCAACCATCCTGCAGCAAAACAAGGCTGCCTTACCTGCTCTGGGAATGCTTCTGCCCATTCCTCCATGGTCATCTGGTCATATGGGATCATGGCCTCCCAATGGCCAAGTTCCTCAGTCAACTTTGCAATACGGGCTTCACTGCCCTTGATGAAGGCTTGTACTTCAGCAGCCTGCAAAAGTATTTTCCAGTGAAATTTTGGTCCCCAGAAAAAACTAAGAACTACCAATTAGAGAACTACAACTATTGTCATGAAACATTAAAGATGATCAATTTGCTTAGTAAAGAGAGGTGTTTATATTTACTAAATTGTATAAAAGAAATCTGGATTGTCATTAGTGTTACAACAGCACTGGAATTTCAGAGAAGTCCATGCTGTGAGAGAGAGAAAAAAAAAGAAAATGCACATTTTTAAACTTGATCTGGTGATAATATATATGGTTTCTTGAGTCTTAGCAAAGTTGTTGAAGGGCAACCGATTTTCCTATCATACTATTACATCAAACTCTAAACTGCTGAAAATATTGCTTCATCTATCACGAAGTGTGGTTGTTACATAATTGCCAACTAACTTCAAGAATCTATATCTGCCTTATCTCATTTCATATATTTTTGACTTTCACACCTAATGAATGGGTATGCTTATGCTTGATCAAGCCTTTGTACTTCAGACACCTGGTGAGGGGGGGTGGGGGAGCAATCTGGTAGTATGTAGCTTGTATTATAACTAGAACACTGATGGTTAATTGTTTCATTATCACAATCACAAAATCAATATATAACAAAATAAAATTACAATTCCTATATTGCTCTAACTGTTGCAAAAAAATCAACTTCTCGCAATACTTGGTATGCCCATATTCTTAAATTTACCCATAATCTTCCCAAAGTATTGAGCAACTTATTTGCAATTTGTGGTTTAATGATTTTACTAGACTAATAAAGAAAGTTGCAACCTGGGAAAAACAAATTTAAAAAAAAGTTAAAAAATTACTTACAGCCGCTGACTCGACATCTGCAATCTGCTGGGAGACAGTATCTGCAGGGTATGGGACCTTCAGGGCCTCATACTCTTTCTGGAAGGTATCTACCATGCCAGCAACAGGGATGCGGGCCTTGTATTCTGCGAAGTTGATGGCTGGTACTGATTCAGGGAGAGTGATCACTCTGAAAATCAGAAAGAAAAATGTACAAGTCAATCTAACTAGTAGTGTCTACCGTAATTATGATGACCTTTCAGCTCAATGCCAACATGGGATCCATGTAACAAATTGGACCATAATCAGGCTGCAGTCAACCATTCGAGAGAAAACTTTGAAGCATTGGATGCATGTTTTTCTACCACCCAATAATTTTTTTTCTGTAGCATATACAATTTTCTAATGAACTAGGATAAAACTCACTTAAAGCCTATTTTTGACGAGTTTTTAGCTCCTCATATCATTGCAATGATGGCCTAACAACTATTTACCATATAACTTTGAGTAGGCTCAACACATGTGGTATGCATATACATATGCCTGGAATAGAGTCCAGTCCTGCCCTGGCATAAGCATACATGCCACCTGTCAGGCTGGGGTGAACTGACTGAATAAGTTAACAACTTGTTTTTGTAACTGCACAGAGTTATAGACTATCTTAGAAGATATTGAGTCTGTGCAAAGAAAACTGCATCAACATTTGATATCAAATGACAAATATATACCTTGAAAACTTCTAAACATCAAAAATGGTAATAAAATTATAAAATGGGGGGAAAAGGAGTCTTAATGCCACACACCCTGGAAAGTTGCCACTCAAGTAAGGCTAATGCCTGGATTTTAGGCCACGTGTAAGCCTCGAGACACCCAGATCCAATGGGTTAATATCAAAAGGTCTGCCAACCTATCCTTCACTCTAGAAGTTTACAGTAAACAACAATAGATAAATATCTTTCAAATGTCAGTGTCTACAGACCAATAACTCTACTAGTGTTGGTGAGAAGGTGGGGAAGAGAGAAGGAAGTCTGACTAATCCCTTACTTGATAAAAAATAAATAAAAAGGGAGCTATAAAAATTCAATCTTGCCAAAACAAGTGGTAGAGAGTTATTGGTCTTCGCCAAAGTGCCACGTGGTGCAGAGGCCACACTGATTAGCATAAAGCTATTATTATAAAAGATGGTGATTCCTAAATATTTACTGTTTTTTTTATTTCTGAACTGTGTACCTAAATGATGTTCTTTTTGTTGAATTTTACAAAACTTCTGAATGAAATAGACCTAATGATGCAATTAATGGAATCCTATGGTGTACTAAAGTCATAAAAACCATAAAGAGGAGTGCATTTGTATAAAAAATAAATAAATAAATAAATAAAAAATAATAAAATAAAAATAAAGGTAGGGAGGACTACATGGAGATTGGCAAGGGACCTTGTCTAAATCCAGCCTTGTGGTCAGTGTAAAAGGAATGGTGATTGAGTGATGGGAGACTTACATTCACATTATGTAAAAAAAAAAAAGAGAATTGAAATTCCTGATAACTAAATGCCAAAGTAAGCTTTGTTGATACCTGACTACTGAAAAAGAATTTGCTCAGATTTTTTTTTTTTCTTTTATTAATATTCAATGTAACAATACATGTAACCAGTCGGAAAAAATAACTGACAACTTTGATTAGCAATATGAGCTTGGTAATTACTGAATCTTGGATAGTGTAAAGAAATGTCATGGATTCTAACTGGGCCAACGAACTTCCCACTGGCCATTGTGTACATGTCTTCTGAAATATTATTTACGTGTTGCACAACTTGCTTAACCCAGTGCCAACGGGTAAAAATTTTGGCAAGTGGACATAAGAATGGGATTGTTGGCGCGCATTGGCAGTTTCCCCTGTTTGCGCCCGGCTCGATCGGTAGTTTGCAAGCAACATTTAGCACCTAAAAGCTTTTATTTTGCTATAATTTATAAAAATATTAAAATTTTTAAGGTTTACCTTCATTATAGGTGTCATTGTCTAAAATCTTTACCATATAAATGAAGCCGCTCCTATTGGAGAAAAACAAACTCCGTCCGACAAGCCAGTGGCGCCGGAATGGGCATGATACGATGCCATTTGTGTTTTGGTCCACGACAGCCATGGCATGTATGTACGAGCCACCCATCGGCTACAGGTTAACTTATGAAGGAAGTCTATGTCAGTTCTGGATTTGCACTGCAGCTACACTAGTTAACATTTGTATCTTTAGAGCCACTATTTTGATAAGGCATTTTAATATGATGAGGTAAATATTACAGTAAATTACACTTTGAAGGCTATATCTAAATGTAATATAGTCCCCTTTGTTTGTTATCAATGTATCATGGGTTTCAGCTGTAAAAGGCAGTAAGCATTATTTGTATTTTTTAAAATAGAACATAGTAGAAAAAATGTAGGGGATGGCTGAATTAATATTTGACAAACTTTGGTGCCCCCATTCCCACAGTCATTTTCAATTTGAAAATATTGATGGAATCATACACCTTCACAGCTGATGCAATGACGAGCTGCTAAACTTAAAATTAAATATATGGAAAATGTATTATTACTGTCCTGATATAAGAAAGATTTGCTGCAGTTTGCAGTTTATTGTAATACAGCAACCTATAAACATCAAAGCCATAACAATGCAAATGTTTGTTTATTCAAACTCCATTTCACAAAATTTATATAAATATTCATAATCACAACAATAGTGGTACTGATGGCTTCCTCTCACCCTCTACTACCTAAATATAGAAACAGAGAACCCCCCCCCCCCCAATACTCGTAATATTGGCCCTAATAGAAGGGGAAGGCACGAATGTTACCAGTGAAATTTTGGGGTAGAAATAAATAACATGCAGAGAATTATATGTAGTCAAATGCAGGGGTCTTTGGCCCCTGCAATCCCTCTAATGAGAAGCTGCTCCCCCCATACCCTGCATAACAAAGAATCCATCACATATAGAGCAGGATAGAGCATAGGACACACATGTCAGATATATACTCTATATTAACGTGACTATGTGGAGGAGGATTTGTCTTCTGTGGCGGGTGTTGGAGAGGCAGTAATAGATTATTCCATATACATCAATATCATTGAATTGGATTTTGTGTATTCTAAACAATTTTCAAATTTTATTCATTAATCTAAGTTGCCCTGACTGAGAGGTGCTTTCTGGGATCTTTTTCTTTTATTTGTGGTGCTACCATTTACATCTGTATATCAATTTCAGTAAATTTACAGCAGATAACAATCAAGGTTACAGTAAAAGAAAAAAAGAAAAGAAAAAAAAAAAAAAAAAAGTGTAGTGAATGATAACTAACACTTTTCATCTATGGCAAATTGAAAATAAAGGAGATACATGGCAGAGGAGAGAGAAGATTGACCCATCTTTTTCTAAGTTCTTCACTATTATTACACATCGCGGGAAAATCTTTACAGTATCCACTCACTAAGTTAGGGTAAATTGAAAATTATATTCTTGTAGTAAAGGACAAAATGTAATAGTGCTTGGTACAAGAAATAATCTGCAGACATAAATGGTAACACCTCGCTCACAGCCTAAGTCCACTCGGTGCTCTAGCGGCTAAGTAGAAAGAAGCGAACGAAAGTTTGACGCTTCTAGATATAAAGGTATTTGGTTTATTATTTTACAGTGTGAATGCCACTATCTTGCCATACATAAGGTGAAGAGCATGCATCACAGGGGGTCTTGGTTCAACCCTCCCCTAGGGCAACGCCTAGTCACGGCATCTTAATTTACTATATTAGGCTGGTTTACTGGTCAATACGTTTTTAGGGGGGGGTTTGGAACATGTGAATTCCCATAGTTTTGTCAAAAGGTGGGTTGGGTTCCCCTAGTTTTTCAAATTCTGGCGTGTTAGTCCGTAGAATTTCAATTAATTGGTCAACTTTAACCCACTAATGCCGGTATATTTTGAAACCGAAAATAATGGTTTCCGCAAGCTCCAATCCAACAGCACATTGGCGGGACCCAGCAATGTTTATTTTTCCAGGTCTCTCATATATGGGATGCCCATCATAAATGGGTTAATCTTTTTTTTTTTGCTAGTTTTACACATTTTTAAAAATCGTTTCTCTTCTTATTCAAACCTGTTTTATCCAATAATTTCCCTGATATACTTCTTGCCCTCCCCTGCTAACAGGACTCACAAATCGAGAGTAATGGTACTCTATCTCCTGAACGATTCATTCACAGAAGCAGCAACACCGAGAATCGACAAAATCATTCAATCAGGGAAATTATGGGGTAAAACAGACTTAAATAAGAATAATAAAGATCAAAAATGTATAAAACTAGCACAAAAAAAAAATCAGCCATTGAAACACTAAGGATGCAACCGCAATCTTTGAATTTCTACAGGCCGACACGCCAGAAATAAAAAACTACGGGAACCCAACCTACCTTTTGGCAAAACTCTATGGGAATTCACATGTTCCAACCCCCCCCTAAAAACATATTGACCAATAAACCAACCTAATATGT